GATGGCAAAATGAATGTTGTAATTAAGATGGTACCTATCGTATAGTTTGGAGGATTGTATACTATTAAGAGTGAAAAATACTAATTTTCTGTCAATATGAAAAATATCACAGACCAATCTTGTCTATGATTGTGACTATTTAGGTGACATTTTGTCTGTTTTGCTGCAATATTTGAATTCAACTCAATGTTTGAGTGGCAAATTGAAAAGTAAAAATAAATCAGTGGGTTCCAAGTTATTTTCAATTTTCTAAATGCAAATTCAACTATGGACATATATCTATCATCTTTTCACATTTCTTTTTATATGTTATGAAGTTGATTGCTCAACTAGTGTGAAGATTGATCAAGATTCATTCCAAGTGTGAACTAATGCAATTTAAGATCTATAAGAAAAGATGTTGATTTAGAGCATGCTCTATTAATCTTAAAGATCACTTTTAAGTTACTTTTATGTGATAACTTACTTTTTTCTTCTTATTTTTAAATATATATTTATTTTGAAAGTAACTATTGTCAACAAGTTGAATTTGGTTTTGAATGCCTCTCAATTTGAGAGTTGCGTTGATTACATAGGTGGATTATTACTCATTACAAGGCTGAGAATCAGCCATTACCTACATCTCGTTTGGGTAAAGATGGAATATGTAATAATTACAAATATCACCTATAAATAATAATATTCCCTATCCTGCTAATACTCCCCTCAAATTGATGTTGGTTTGTCAAGAAGCATCAATTTGTTCACAAGAAATTGATGACACTGTCGAGTCACTGCCTTTGTAAAAATATCAGCTATCTGAAGGGTAGTGGAAATATGAAGAAGAGAAATAACACGAATACCCAAGGCCTCTTGAATAAAATGACAATTCACTTCAATATGTGTTTCGCGCGGGTAGTCGCTAACAATTAAAAAGGGATCAGACGATTGTGTAAGGAACAAACCTCTTAAAACAAAGTCCCAAAAAAGGGTGTTTTATTAGCGATGTTTTACAATTGAAACTAAATAGAATGCCTCCAAGGGGCGCAAGCACACGAGTACTAAAAGAAATATTTAAGTTTAAACTAAGAAATTGAAATGACATATTCTCTATTTGAGAGTGTTTAATTCGGGGTCTTTTGCTCTATGTCTTCTCTTCCTTTCATATTCCCTTGATGATTTTTTCGTGATCAATCGCTTAAAAATTGCTCGATTACTTTATAACTACCCTCTTTATTTATGGTGTCTAACTTGTCGTGGAACTGCCGTCTCTAACTGTTGCTACTACTCTTTGTCGTTCAATCGTTTTTAACTGAACTTCTTAAATCGTGGAACGTGATAAGATTACCCAATAACTGCTTCAATAACTGCACTTCTGGATAACCATAACATCTTATGTTTGCTAAGATCCTGGGCGATTCGAAGGTTTGGGCGAGAACATGGTCATAGCTTTGGACGACTATAAGGCACTTCATTCGCTCAGATCTTGGGCGTCTTGCAAGCTTGGACGATAATGTTACCGCGTTCGTGGACTTCCATTGCATTCATTAATAACTCTATCTGGGCCTTTATCCTGAATTGCCCAATTTGGCTTCATTTTTTGGACTATTTGATTTGGGAATTCCCCAATTGGACTTCATTCCTTGGACTTTTCGATTTGGGCTGCACTTTTAGTGTGTCAACAATATGTTTTGTACATTTATGGTAAATAGGGTTAGCAGCAATCTGAATTGCACTTGTGTTATCAGCATGGAGAGGAGTAGGAGTGGATTGAGGAAAATCAAGTTCAGCCAGGTTAGCAGCATGTAGAGTGATGATGAATATATTTTCCACTGCCTTTGACACTATGCAAGATTTTAAGACAAGTTACTTGACCTTTGCTTTAACCCGTTTAATGTTTGTGAGCCATGTGATTAGCACTGCAATGAGACTTCTCCTTGTGTCTTTTGGATTTTCTACAAAACGTTTCCTGATCTTAGGCATCCTACAAGTGAATATCCCGCTCCCTTCGCTACTTTCTACTATAACATGGCTAAACTCGGGGTTGAAGGCTTCTTAGCGCTACTGAAGGAATACCCTAAGCTATGGTACGGATTTTTTGCTGCATCCATTTTCATCAACTTAATAAGAGATGCTCTGGGAAAGAAATGTCTGTGGTTTATTCCACTTCCAATGACAATGGCGATACCATTTTATTTGGGTTCCTACTTTTCCATTGATATGTGTGTTGGTAACCTCATACTCCGTGTGTGGCACAAGATAAACATAGACATGACAGATGCCTTTGGGCCTGCAGTAGCTTCAATTTTGATTTGTGGAGATGGCATCTGGGCTCTGCCTAAATTTATACTAGATCTAGTCGTGATGAAACCTCCAATCTGTCTGAAGTTCCTGTCGAGGGCTACAAACACTAAGGTAGATAAGTACTTGGGATCCTTAATATGCTGGGGTTAAAAATTAATTTGTATCATAACAAGTATCGCCTTCATAATTCAAAAAGGATTATCCAGTATAGATACATAAAAGAACAAATTTATGTTTATGTAATATGGACGCATCTCAATGGCAATTTGTAATACATATTCAGAACTATAAAATTTGCACTAGAAAAGGCAATCGGAAGCAGGATTATGCACTCTATTCCTTTGTTTCGTGTCTTCTACAATACCCATATAAAAATATATTTCAAGTTAACTGATGTAGACTTTAAAGAATACACCAAAATTTTGGAGTGGCTTTATACAATTTTTATATACTATTACTGTTTACTTAAAGAGAAGAAAAAAGATAAAAAAAAAAAAAAAAAGAGAGAGAAAGATGAAAGCTTAAATTGATATGTCTTTTATTCAATGATTGGCAACGTGAACCATTAGGCATTACAAGAGGAGTATTTAAACTAATAATACAGAAAAATGAATCCCATAAAATCTGGTACAATTACTTATTTTTTGACAGCTTTACATTAGGATCTTCCATATTAGTTGAAACTGATAAATCTTCATATTGCTCTGATTTTTAGCTTCCTTATTCTCTCCACTGATTTCGGCAATATTGTGAGAGTCTTTCCCTTTTTTCTCCAAGAATCTTGTGCTTCCTTATTCTCTCCACTGATTTCGGCAATGTTGTGAGAGTCTTTCCATTGTTCTCCAAGAATCTTGTGCTTCCTTATTGATTGTGCTGAGTTGTGGTTTGTTGCTAATACCCTCCCTCAAACTTTGTCGAAGTTGGAGGCAAAGTTTGTTTCGAAAATATTGAAGGGTTGCTTTTGACATTGGTTTTGTGAAGAGGTCAGCAACTTGGTTATCAATGGAGATATGTTGAGTGATAAGCAGTCCACATGCAACTTGTTCACGTACAAAATGATAATCCAACTCTATGTGTTTGCTTCGGGCATGAAATACCGGGTTAACTGTCATATAAAGAGCAACAAGGTTGTCACAATAGAGAATGGGAGGAGATGTTATTGCAATTCGAAGGTCTTTGAAAATGAATGTCAGCCAAGTAAGTTTGGCTACTGTGTTAGCCATGGCGCGGTACTCAACTTCCGTGCTTGATCGTGAAATGGTATGTTATTTTTTTGCACGCCACGAGATGAGGTTCCCTCCAAGGAATGTACAGTAGCCTGTGGTTGAACGTCTTGTAGTAGGACACCCTGCCCAATGTGCATTTGAGAAAGCAAAAAGATCAAGTGCACTATGTGAAGAAAAATGTAAACCCATTTCAATTGTTCCTTTGACATATCTTAGGATACGTCGAACCATTTTTAAGTGTGTCATTGTGGGAGTATGCATAAATTGGGATACATAGTTAACACTAAATGAAATATCGGGGTGAGTAAGTGCAAGATATTGTAATGCTCCAACAAGACCACGATTGTAACTTGGGTCTTCCAAGAGAATTTCATTGGAAGAAGTTTTGGTTTTAGCTTTAAGAGGTGGACTCATTGGCTTGCAATCTACCATACTGGAGCGTTCAAGTATGGTTAGGGTGTAGTGAGACTGAGATAGATGAAGTCCCCTATTTGTTGTCGTGATTTCCATTCCAAGAAAGTGGTGAATTGGTCCTAAATCTTTCATTGCGAATTCACTGCTTAATAACATAATGAACTTTTCAACAAGTTCCGGAGTAGATCCTGTAAGCAATATGTCATCCACATAAAGTAGTAAGATTAGTGAACCAAATTAAGAGTGAAAAATAAATAATGAAGGATCAGCTAAACTACAAAAAAATCCAAAGTTAACAAAAAAAGCACTAAATTGATCAAACCAAGCACGTGGCACTTGTTTTAACCCATAAAGTGCTTTTTGTAGTTTACAAACATATGTTGGATGTTTTGGATCTGCCATTCCTCGTAGTTGCTGCATATAAAGATGTTTAGAAATTAGGCCATGCAAAAAGGATTTTTTACATCTAGTTGTTGAATAGACCACCACTTAACAAGTGCGATAGTTATAATCATCCGAATTGTTCCTGGTTTAATCATAGGAGAAAATGTCTCAGTGTAGTCTACTCTATCAACTTGATGATATCCTTTTGCAACCAGGTGCGATTTGAGTCGATCTATAGTACTCATTTTGAACCAATGACATTCATGTTAGGTGTGCGAGGAAAGAGTATCCATGTTTTATTTTGATGAAGAGCAGCAAGTTCTTCATTCATTGCTGCTTTCCAATCAGGGTGTGCTAAGGCTGTTTTGATATTTTGTGGCTTATGTGGTACATTGTTGGAGGTGTTTGTGAACAAGGCATACTTAGAGTTGGGTTTTACCACACCTAGTTTTGCTCTAGTGACCATGGGATGTATCTTTCCTAGAGAGGCAGATGTTGGATTTGGTGATTCTGTCGATGTGGTTGCAGGCTATGGGGCCATGATTTGTGGTATTTATAAGGTTTCTAATGTATATGTGTCATGTAGTGATGGATTTTCAGATGTGTTAATGCTGTTATCAATTTCAGGAAGGTCATTTTCAGAATTTCTTGTTGTGGTTTGAGGTACTATATTGAGGAGAGGTTGTGGTTCGAGTGACGTGGAATTTTGTGGGATTGTTGCTATGACTTGAATTTGTGGTAAAGGACTTAAACATGGAGCTGTGGAGGAGGTCGAATGTATCCCTGCAAAAAGAGGAATATCTGTATGTGGTAACCAAGTGTTAAAAATATTTATAGCCAATGACTTTGCCGTTGTCATGCAAGAATTATTTGTAGGCTTATAAGGAAAAATTTTCTCATCAAAGACAACATGTCGAGAGATAAATTTTTTTATGCTTGATGGATGAAAACATTTATAAGCCTTATGTTCTTCACTATAGCCCACAAAGATGCAAAGAAGCGTTTTAGGATCAAACTTGTGACGCCGTGTGTCCCAAGTGTAGGGAAAACACTTAGATCCAAAGGTGCGAAGTGATGAATAAACCGCATGCTTTCCATGCAATGAAAAATATGGGGTTTCAAAATTGAGAGTTGATGAGGGTAGTTGACTCATGATATATATCGCTGTGGAAAAAGCTTCTACCCATAAAAATAAAGGAAACACCACAATGAAACAATATAGTCATATCTAATTCTCTTATGGTTCTATGTTGTCTGTCAACTATACCAGTTTGCTCAGGAGTATATGGAGCTGATATTTGGGAACAATGCCTGTGGAAAGAAAGTGAGTTGATAGTTTGGAATTAACGAACTCACCTCCTCTATCGGAATGAAAGATTTTTATTTGCTTGTTGAATTTCTAGCAACATACTTTTCAAAGGTTAGATATGCATTGAAAAAATCAGATTTTTGCCGTAAGGGAATAATCCATGTATACTTTGAAAAATCATCAACCAAACAAGCATAATATCAGAGTTTTACAATAGAAAGAATAGGGGCAGGTCCCCATAAATCACAATGAATTTTCTCAAAAGTACTTGAATGTTTCGAACAAGAAAAAGGCAACCGACTAAGCTTTTCTAATTGACAACTATCACAAAGATGTTGTGATTTTGTTGTCCCTACAACATCAATTAACCCTCTATTTTTTAAAATTTGCAAAGCTGAAGATTGCGGGTGGTCAAGGAGTTGATGCCATACTTCAGCTGTGCTAGCCTTGAAGCGATTAGAACAATAAAGTTCTGGTGAAGTGGATCGGACTTAGAGATCACCCTTGTGTTTCCCTGTCATCATTGCTTGTCCTGTTTCCCGTTCCTTAACACAAAAATCCACATTAGAAAATTCACAATTAATAGGAAACCGAGTGGTTAGCTGACTGACAGAGAGCAAATTCTTTTTTAGATCAGGAACTAATAACACATCATTTAGAGGTAAGGCTGATTTTTTTTTTTTTTTAATAAAAGAGTCTTCAATTGCAATAATTGGCATGGAAGATCCTTCTCCTATTAACACTGAATCGGAACCAAATTAATGAATAATATTATTTAACATACCTTGCTTACTTGTCATGTGATTGGAAGCTCTAGTGTCAGTAGTCCATTCCGTGTCTGCTATGGTATTGTCCAATGTCAATGCCGCTTGTGGAATTTCATTTTGAGGAATTGATTTTTTTGGTACCCACCAGCATATATTCGCAATATGGCCCATCATTCCACAGTATTGACATTGCTGATCACGATATTTCTCCCTTTTGGAAGGTGTCATGCGACGTTCTCCTAGTGGCGGAGGTCGGAGTTGTGCTCTTGTAGGAGAAGAGTTGTAGACTTGACTTGAATCCTTGCTTTGTTGTGCTTGGAATCCACGTCCAATTGAAGTAAATTTTTGAGCTGGTCCACGATATCCTCAGTTGTTTGATTGAGAACGTTGCTGTTGACCATAAAAAGCTACTTGATGTGTGAGTGTTGATGCTTGAATGTCGGTGTAGTTGGAAAGCCAATTTCGCCTTTGATCATAATTTTGGAGTTGAGAAACCAACTCAGAATAGGATGTTCGTGGATGTTTTAACATGGTTGTTGGAATGTTTCGTATTGCGGACCAAGGCTTGTGAGAAGACATAATATCTTTTCTTGGTCTGGAACCGGCTTCCCAATTGCTCCTAAATTGTCACAGAGACCTTTAAAGGTTCAGATGTGCTCTGTGATTGTTGTGTGGTCTTCTTTTCAAAGTTAGGTAAGCTTTTGGCTCAAAGTGAATTCACGTTCTTGAGATTCTTGGGCATATGCATTTTTAAGAGCCTCCCAAACTGCATGTGCTATGTCAAAACCAACAACGAGGCCGAGAGCTTCCTCAGAGAGTGTTCCAATGATCCACCCTCAAAGAAGACGATCAGACTTTTCCATGTAATAAAATCATCTGTTAATTTAGGATTTGTGTTGTCTGAATTTGAGGAATTGTTTGGATCTGGCCTGACATATTTATTCGATGCAGGATCTTCATTTGTGAAATGTCCCACTAATTCTTGGCTTTTGGCAAAAGCTAATGCTTGCTCACGCCATAAGGGGTAGTTATTTGGAGTGAGTCCTAGAGTGATGAAGTCGCCAACATTGCGAGATAGTGTAGCCATGGTGAACTGAAGAAAGAGCTATTGTTTGTTGCCTAAAGTTCACTATTGCTCTGATACCAGGAAGGAAAAAGGATTTAAAAAAAAGGAAAAAGAAAGCTTAAATTGATGTCTTTTATTCAATGATTGGCATTAGGCATTACAAGAGGAGTATTTAAATTAATAATACAGAAAAATGAATCCCATAAAATTTGGTGCAATTACTCGTTTTTTGACAGCTTTACATTAGGATCTTCCATATTAGTCGAAACTGATAAATCTTCATATTGCTCTGATTTTTAGCTTCCTTACTCTCCATTGATTTCGGCAATGTTGTGAGAGTCTTTCCCTTTTTTCTCCAAGAATCTTGTGCTTCCTTATTCTCCCTACTAATTTCGGCAATGTTGTGAGAGTCCTTCCATTTTTTTCTCCAATAATCTTATGCTTCCTTTTTGATTGTCCTAAGTTGTGGTTTGTTGCTAATACAAAGAAGATGTAGATAGCTTGTAGATATATCTATATTTCGTTTATGCCAACTTTCTGAAAATTGTTATATAATAAAAATATCCTTTTACGGTACTATAAGCTAAATTCTTTATTCTTTAATTTAAAATAACTAAATTATGAAATCTGATAAGTTGTTTTTTACTGAAAATCACACCAAAAAGGTACTCTAAATAGCCTTACTCGTGTACCGATGAATATCGATGTACATGACAAAGCTATTTGTTCGTGTGATACTCGGAAGCGTACGAGATCGTTGACAAATAATAGATTTACTAATTTAGAGTATCGTCCCACGAGGAATAAAATTTAATTGAGTGTACTAATCCTTAATTAGATTCAAAGTAAACAAATTAAAAGTGATTTTTGTGATTTTTATTTATTCTAATTTAATATACGAAAATGTGTAAAATGCAAATTTAAAATGTATATGGGAAGAGTGTATTGGATTATGAATCCACATATTATTATTTATTTCAATTCTTGATTACGTAGCTAGTTTTGTTCTTGCATTTTTGACAATCATAATTCTATTGTAATTAATTTTCTTTTTAAGATAAATTAAATCTATCCTATCCCCGACCCAAATCTATTTTTAGTCCGAATTCATATGAATAGAACGCATTCAATTTCACAATCATCTCAAAGATTACACACTGATAAATCTTATTCCTAAAATTTATTGCAAGCATGTTAATCAAGCAGTATTCTATTCCTATTGTGAACCTCCCAACACTATAACAAACAATCATATATTTAATTGATAATCAAACAATCAAATAATAAAATAAAACTAATAAAAAAATTACAAGCTTGAATTAAAAATAAATAACAAAGGGTTTCATTTTCATCCAATACATAAGAAAAAATTAGTTGAGCATAATGTTGAAATTAAAAAAAGAAAGATTGGATGACATCACCGAGAAATTGACGAAACGCGATTAATTCCACAAAATTCTTGCACAAATCTTCAATTGGTTCACGCAGAAAAATTATGGATTTTTTCTAAATTGCTACATGTCTCTATTTTCTTCTACCATCATTCCCTGCATGGTGTCTTGGCTCGTCTCCTTAATTCTTCCAGCCACCAGCTTTTTGTCTAGAAAGAGTCCCAGTGGTTTTTTTTATTTTCTCAATTCCCAGCCGAAATTTTCCTCTCAATTTCCCTAACAGCTGCTGCTTTTATATGGTTGTTTCCTCCAAAGCTGCCGTCTTTTCTATTGGTTCCTCCTTAATTTCCAGCCACCTTTTAATGTATATAATATATCCCAAGCAGCCGGCACTTATGTATCTCCTCTCCTTGCCGTATACGTGTGGAATCAGCCTCCAACCCTTTATACTTTCTCATGCAGCCCTTGTTTTTTTTTTTTTGTTGTCTGTAGAATTTCAAGTGGTTGCAATTCTGGACTTCCAAAATAATCCCAATTACTTTTCTTCCTGCCTTGGTTCAGCTTGTGAAATTTTATCCTAAATTATAAATTTCAATCGATTATGTCCTTCTTCCTTTCCACTTGCTTCAAACGAGTCCAACACTAGAAAACAAAAAGAAAATTCGCCTAAGTTAAATAGAAGTTAATAATTTGAAGGCTTAAAAGTTCTATAATGTGGCATAAATAAATACATAAATTGCACTTATCACTATTCAATTATAGAATTACAGAATTGAATAGCTTTGCCATGTACATCGATATTCATCGGTACATGAGAATGGTTATTTATGGTACATTTTGTTGGAATTGGTTCAAAAATTAACCAAAAATTGGAAAATGAAAAGGTGTGACTACATGTCAATTTCGACCAAATATTCGGACTTGATCCGATGG